ACTCTGCTCTGATATCTTTATCCAAAAAAGCGCGTCGGCGGAGTTCATTGGTTTTCAAAGGATCATACAGGAATTTACAGGTTGGTTCTCGCCACTTTGCATATCGCCAGCTTAGTCATCAAATGAAGTAGTAATGCCCTTGTTACTAGTAGCGATGGCCAAGCACTCACTTGCGCACCCCCAAATAACCTCACTTGCGCACTTTACCTCACTTGCGCACTTAGCACTCACTTGCACACTTTCAGGGGGAAAGTGAAGGTGAAAGGACATTCAACCACCAACAATCTATTGGGTGGGGGGGTAGGAGAAAATGAAAAGATACTCAACCACCAAACAATGTAAGTTCTTGCACCTGACATGTAATTAGGTGAGGTTACTGAACACAACTGCTCATTAAAATTACATATCTTGTTGGGGTGAAGTGGGTGGGTGGGGGGGGGGGGGGGGGGGTGGGGGGGTTAATAACGTCTTTGTTGACATTCTTCCACGTGATGATCTTTATTGAATATGTGCTTCCAAAGAACCATGTGATACAGATGTTCTGTGTCTGATCTAGTTAGTTAATTTGTTTGTTTGTTAAATAGATAGCTAGTTAACTAGTTAGCTAGCAAGCTAGCTAGTTAGTGAGTACTATGGTGTTGTAGTAGTAGTAGTAGTAGTCAGTAGTAATGGTAGTGGTAAAGGTAGTAGTAGTAGTAGTAGTCGTCGTCGTGGTAGTACTATTCGTCTGCGTCTTCGCGGTCGTCGTCGTCGTGGTCTTCGTCGCAGTAGTATGATGTAGTAGTAGCAGTAGTAGCAGTAGTAGTAGGAGTAGTACTTGTAGTAGTGGTAGTTGTGGTAGTTGTGGTAGTATAGTGGTAGTGGTAGTGGTAGTTGTAGTGGTAGTGGTAGTGGTAGTGGTAGTGGTAGTGGTAGTAGTAGTAGTAGTAGCAGTAGTAGTAGCAGTAGTAAGGAGTAGTAGAAGTAGTAGTAGTAGTAGTAGTACTAGTAGAAAAAATGCACAAGCGAGGTAAATTTGCAAGTGCACAAGCGAGGTAAATTTCAAGTGCACAAGCGAGTGCTCGCCCAGTAGCGATGCCCTTTGCTCCTAGTAGCGTCCTTGCTCCTAGTAGACCTTTATTTTGACCTTTAGATGCAAACAAGATTCATGTAAATGAACAAAGCACCGAACTCTCGTGAGATTGCCTGTGTGATCCATTGTGAAGTCCTGTCTTCGCAAGCCTTGGAAAACACGGAAACGCCACACGACTTCACACAACTTCACATGCCTTCCGTCGTCGGGATCGAGGTTCAGGCCACTCGCCCATCCAAGCTTGTGGCCATCTTCAGAACCACGTAGGGCCTGGAACAACGTAGTACAAGAAGAACATCGCTAGTAGGTTGGAGGCCATCAACATCATCTTCGCCTGCTATGTTCCCAAAAGACTGGACCCTATCTAAATTGGTTGTATTTGTTGCATGGTTGCTGTTGCCTTCTCCAACGTCCAAATCATTTGCTTGTTCACAAGTTTTTGGTGTGTTGTTGCGTGTTCTCGATTGCACACGAGCTGCACAAGCTGCTAAACAAACATGCAAAATCGCTGTGCATATTAGTATAATTGTGCCATTGGAACCTTGCATTCGGTTCTTTCAGAGCCCCATCAGTGGTGCAAGTTGGGCAGGAAAGCACTGCCTTTCGGTTCATCCTCTTACTTTGCCCACATTCACACCGCGGCTTGCAGTGTCGAAAACTCGGAAGTGTCCCTACCGTCATGCTCGAACTACCCATCACTACCGGCACGATTGCCAGGTCGGCTTCGGGTTTCACCTGCCGGTCTGGCGGTGGTGCAGGTAGCTGCGGAAAGAGTCGCGCACCTTCTCCTGAAACTCAAAGAGCTCTGGAAGAGCAGACGGCCTCCAACCTTCTACCGATGGCCTCCAACCCAATAGCAATGGCCTCCAACCTTCTACCGATGGCCTCCAACCCAATAGCAATGGCCTCCAACCTAACAGCGAGTAGTCGCGCACAATGGTCTTCTTTCAAACCCGTTTCAAACCCGTGCTCCTTGCCTCGGCAACTCCCACATCCACCTGCAAAATTAGGGTGTTCCGACGTTAAGAATCGAGAAACATGTCAACGGGAGTTGTTACCAACAAAAAGCTTTGCAGGCCGCAGCACTTGTCGTGGCAGGCGCAGCATTTCTTGGGCCTAATGTTCTCGTCATAGAATAGCACTAGTACCATAGCAGAGTGCTAGTATTTGCACTCATAGTGGTAGTGGTCGTCGTAGTCGTAGTCATCGTAGTCGGCCTAGTAGTCGCCGGTCCTAGTCATTGTTGTGGTGATCGTGGTAATAATAACAATACAGTCAGCAGCAGCAGCAGGTGGTGGTGCTAGTCAAAAGAAACTTCGATTAGAATCTTCCGAGTTCCGAAAGGTTGCCATTGCGTAGTAACAGGTGCCACGCTAGTAGTAACAAGTGCATCGCTAGTAGAAACAAGTGCCTTACTAGTAGTAACAAGAAGCTAGTAGTAATATACTAGTAGGTCCAAAGCAACGTGGAGTAGCAAAGTGACGAGTCGCTTCTGCTTTGCACACATGTGGCACTCACGGGAATAGACTTAAGTACCCTTTGCTACTCCAAACAAAGGGGCCTTTCGATGCCTTTCCCTTTCCTGGAGAGAACAAAAGGTCGTAAGTAGATCAGAAGGCTCTACCATGTTCCTTCGTTCTACGCCTACGTGTCGCTTCCTTCTCGTTTCTCGCCTGGATTCCAGCATCTCGCACAAAGCTCACGCCAAGGCCACCAAACTTGGGATCCGGATCAACGTGGCCAATGACCTTGACGTGACCGAATCGACGCAGGTTGGACCTGTGGGACCTGTGGGACCCAGCGGAATCACCAAGTTAGAGCTTCTAGCTTCTAGTACCTTCTTGTTACTAGTAGTAAGGCACTTGTTACTAGAAGCAATGCACTTGTTCCTAGTAGCTTATTGTTTCTAATTAACCTTAATTCTAATTACAAGCTTCTAGCTTCTAGTACCTTCTTGTTACTAGTAGTAAGGCACTTGTTACTAGAAGCAATGCACTTGTTCCTAGTAGCTTCTTGTTACTACTAGTAAGGCACTTGTTACTACTAGCGTGGCACTTGTTACTAGTAGCTCCTAGTCACGAAGGTGATAAAGCTAAAGGCAGCCATGTGACACAACGCTTCACCTTCTTTGCCACCACCAGCTCATCGCACGGCGGGGTCCGCCTCAGTGAAATGTCACAGCTGGACTTGAAAAACAAAAGAAGTAAGGGTATAGTAATAAGGGAGAAAGAATGAAACACAACAATGCGACGCCGCTACGGTTCAGTTGGAACCTACAAGCACGCCGAAGGTCAGCTGCTCGAAATCAGAAGTACTCTCGAAGGTCTCCTGTTCCTTTTTACATTGGCCATTGCGGTTGGGGTGGAGGCCGTCACTAGTACGTTGGAGGCCATCGCTATTAGGTTGGAGGCCGTTGCGGTTGGGGTCCAGACTTCCCTGGACCTCGATGGCAGGGCTCCAAGGTGGTGTAGATCGTGGCGTCACTGAAGTCACTGAAGCCTTTTGCCTAACAAGATCGAAGTCATCTGCAGCTTGACTAAGAGATCCTGAGAGGAAGCTTCTCAAAGGGTAACTCCGGTCAAACCAGGGATAACTCCGTGCCATCAGTAACATTCTGACGCATTCCGAAAAGCTTGCTCAAAAAGTGTTGACATGTCTGTCTGGACATTGGGAGTAATGCAAAAGAATTAGCAAGGAGTAAAAAATAAAAGCCTTGGGGCACGCAGTCTCCTAGCAAGGATCAGCAAAGGCAGGCAGCGATCTTGTTCGTAAGAAATTGGAAGAAAGAACAAGATCGTCAGAAAGTTCAAGATCTAAGGAGTTGCCCAGCTGTTCATCCCGCAACCTCACCCACTGAACACCGCAAATGACATGAGAAGACCTTCCAGTGGCCCCCGGGTTCTGCCGCTAGTAGCGTCCTTGTTCCTAGTAGCGAGGCCAGGAGCCCCTAGTAGCGTCCTTGTTCCTAGTAGCGTGGCACTTGTTACTACTAGTAAGGCACTTGTTACTAGTAGCGAGGCACTTGTTACTAGTAGTGAGGCCAGGAGCCCCGTTCGTAGCGTCCTTGTTCCTGGCCTCAGCATCTTTGAAAGCTTCCACTTCAGCATGCGGAGAGCCCGGACCCCTGAGGTCGGTGACGGGTCGCTAGCAGGTCTGCTTCTGCTCGGTCCACTAATTGGAATTCGGAAAGCCACAGCCATGTCTAAGATTTGTGTAAACCTCTTGTTCTTTTCTCTTGCTTTCTGTAAACCTGCAACAAGGACTAGAGCCACGTGCTAAATGGTGCTAGGCTGCTAGAGTAGAGCCACATTTCTAGAAATCTTCGCACTTTGAACAGCATGACATGCCAGGAGTACTTGTGGAAGCCTTCTCCCACGACTTTGCCATCAGCCACCACCAGAGCGCCCACCCACGGATTTGGTGCTGTGATCTTGGCATCGAAAACACGGACTCACAAGTTTGAACCGTTCGACTTCGTCAACAAGAATGCGAAGTCCAAGAAGAAATCGCGAATGGTAAATCTAGGAAAGGAAGCTACTAGGGGCACCTGGCCTTACTACTAGGAGCAAGGACGCTACTAGGGGCTCCTGGCATCGCTACTAGGAACAAATCCAAGGAAATCCAGGAAGACACGGCGGACATATCGCTGGGCTGCAAGCCAACCGGCCACGCTGACCCTGCGCCAGCCTCAGCATTGAGAAGTCGCGAAAGAAGAGCTCACTGAGAAAAAAGAATATGCAATGTATATAGTATGAATCTGTTGAAAAAAAGAAAGAAACGAAATCGGGACCGCAAGACAGCCATCTTCTTTTGTGGCACCGTGCCATTTGGCCGTGGGTGGCTAGTGAAACCAAAGCAAGAGTCGTTAACTCCAGAGAGTTGGGTTGAAATAAAATGGGAGAATCATTGGAAATCATTCTCTTTGTACTCATTGTCGAGGCACTTTGTACTCCTTGAAATCGATGAGATCTCGAAAGTTTCGATTGATTGATGTTCCTTTGAAGCTGGCCTTAAAGCTGCGGAGAGAAGTGGGGAGCTTCTCTTGCAAAGCGAGGATGCCTGTACTGTGCAGTCGCACACAGCCTGCGAAGTGTAATTCCAACTCAAAGATGCTCGAGCTATGAAGCACCTTGGCCAAAAGAATCAAACCTGCATCTGTCAGGTTCTTGCAGCCCACAAAGTCCAAGTAAAGCTGCTGTAACTTCAGCTGCTGAAAACGTGAGGTCAATGCTTGTAAGGAGAGATCCGTCAAACGTACACAGTCCTCAAAGCTGAGCTTGAGTTTCACCAGACTGCTGGGCAAGGACTCGGCCAAGGTCTTCACCACCGAATCAACACAAGTCTCCTCGTGAGCCAAACAAGGACGCTACGAACGGAGCAAAGGGCATCGCTACTAGGAGCGATCGGACGCTACTAGGGGCTCCTGGCCTTACTACTAGGAGGAAGGACGCTAAGTCTCCTCAAAATGAGCCAAACTCAAATCCAAGGATTGCCGGAAGCTGTCATTCACTAAGGCATCACAAACGTTGAGCATGCCAGAGTGAAGGCCTTGACAGGGAAATCTTCAAAAAGGAGTGCCCAAAGGAACCTTTAGGATAAACTTTAGGATCTGAAAAGCAATACGCAAAAACGAAAGCACAAGATCCTTGGCCTTTTGAATGCTTGGGCAAAAGATTCTTGTGCATTGCTTGGGGCCAAGCCAGCACTGCTAAGGTCGAATGAAGAGTTTGATTCGCCCGAAGCAAATTCTTCTCAAGACGCTCTTTCCCTTCATCTGACAACAACTCACGGCTTTGAGCGATGGATTGTAGGATGCTGATCTTGTCACTCTCGCGAGTTGCGGAGCCTGCAGGAAGGTGTTGGAAGGTGCCGTAGCTACTAAGTTACTAAGTCATCTATTGTACTAAGGGACTAAGAAAGGAGACCTTGGAAGCTAATGCTTCTTCCTGAGCCTTAATGATTTGGTTCCTAGATTTGGGAAACTGGAAGTAAACAAGAAGGGCAACACAAACGCTACTAGGAACAAAGGGCATCGCTACTAGTAGCAAGGACGCTACCAGTAGCTCCTGGCCTTACTACTAAAAACAAGGACGCTACTAGGAGTT